AAAATGAAACGAAAAATAAAAAAGAAAAACGAAAAAAAAAAATGAAAAAGAAAAGAATGACCTTGCGTAAAGTAAAAAAAAAAGCAAATTTCTGAGAAGGAAAGAAATTCAGTCTAATTTAGAATGAAACACAATAAAACAGAATACTTAAGAAAATTAAATGTACAATGAAGAAATAGCGAAAATGGCAAGAAGAATGATTGAGGAAAGAAAGAACGAAAAAAAACCCTATGTTTAAGAACGAAAACATCGTTATGATTTTAATAGATAGATAGATAGATAGATAGATAGATAGATAGATAGGAACTGACTGAGATAGATAGATAGGAACTGACTGAGATAGATAGATAGATAGATAGATAGATAGATATGAACAGGCTGAGATAGATAGATAGAGAGATAAATAGATAGATAGATAGATAGATAGATAGATAGATAGATAGATAGATAGATAGGAACTGACTGAGATAGATAGATAGATAGATAGATAGATAGATAGATAGATAGATAGATAGATAGATATGAACAGGCTGAGATAGATAGAGAGAGAGAGATAGATACGTGAACAGGCTGAGATAGATAGATAGATAGATAGATAGATAGATAGATAGATAGATAGATAGATAGATAGATAGATATGAACAGGCTGAGATAGATAGATACGTGAACAGGATGAGATAGATAGATCGATAGATTGATAGATATGAACAGGCTGAGATAGATAGATAGATAGATAGATAGATAGATAGATAGATAGATAGATAGATAGATAGATAGATAGATATGAACAGGCTGAGATAGATAGATAGATAGATAGATAGATAGATAGATAGATAGATAGATAGATAGATAGATAGATAGATAGATAGATATGAACAGGCAGGAATAGATAGAGAGATAGAGAGATACGTGAACAGTCTGAGATAGATAGATAGATAGATAGATAGATAGATAGATAGATAGATAGATAGATAGATAGATGCAAATATATATGCATCATTTAGAAAGAAAAAATACAATGAACAAAGTAACGAATGAGTGAAAGAAAGAAAATTTCTATAATTTAGAAAGAAATGAAGTGAACGAATGAATGAAAAAAGAAGAAAACTAAAGAAAAAAAAGAAAGGAAAATTATGATTGCGAAAGTCTGCATAAAAGAAAGAAAGAAAGAAAGAAAGAAAGAATGAATGAATGAATGAGTGAATGAATGGATGATAAAAGCGAATGAAAATGTTAAAACTATTGGAAACCCCCAACAATTGCCGAACTAAAAGAAAAAAAAGGGGCCGTTCTAGAAAAAGAAGGGTATTTATAGAATTAAAAAAAAATGAAATTAATAGCGATGAAGTGGAAGAGAAAGGCGTTGGGTGGAGGAAGAAAGCAATAAAAAACGCCAGTTTTGGGTTATAGAGACATTTGCGGAGAGCGTTAAGATCTGTCGAGAGAAGGACGACTGGGAGGAAGAATACAAAACAAATGCGCTTCGGTCGGCGTTGATAAAGAAAGAACATGAAAAACAAGTCCCTCGATCGGAGGCTGAGCTGTGGTCGAATGGGTGGGGATTTTGAGTGCGTAGGCAAATGGTTGATCGAGGGGAAAAAAGCGAGAGATCGTGTAGCGTGGAAGTCAAAAAAAAAATAGAGAAATTTGAAGACACGCAGTCAGCGCCCTAAGGACTATGACAGCACCGATTAAGCCTGACAGTTTGAACCCTAAACACATGATGAGCAGTACCCGGATGCTGCAGTTACCAGCTGAAAAGGAATAAATCAGCATGCTGTTATCGCGGATTTTATGAGAATAGAACCATACACATTCTGCCTCTCACTGAGCAGAGGAATTTCTTTTTTTTTTTCTTTCTTTCTTTTTTTATAGTGAGGTTCACCTGTACAAAGCCCAAGAGCCACTCGAGGTAGAGGGTTACAGAGTAAGCGGCACAGCTTATGCGGATATGTGGTGAAGATAACGGTTAACACTAGATTTAAACTGGTTGAGATTGTAGTAATCGAGAAAACATCGTCTAAGGAGTCGGTTCCATAGAGCAGTTTTTCGCGGGAAGAAGATGATCGATTCGTTACAATTTGCGTAGTATGGTGGGTCCTAGCCGTGAAGGTTAAATTTGATGGAATGAAGTTCGTATGAGCACTTACCATGGAAGTAGCGATGGAGCAGTGAGTGTAAGTGATTTCAGGTTGGAAATGGGTCTAAGGACTGCATACGCACTCCTGAGCAATCTTCGTAACACCCCCCTCTTATATGACACAGCACTTATCGCACATGCACTGGGCGCCGCTTTGTTTTAACGTCAAACAAACCAGTTTGATAGGGTGTAAAAATGTAGGCCAGATTCTTAAAACACTTATACAAAGTAAAAATACATGGGTCATATTATTCTTTATCAAGACACGCTACGTTATTTAATCTCTATGTATAAAAGGCAGGATGTGTGTGTGTGTGTGTGTGTGTGTGTGTGTGTGTGTGTGTGTGTGTGTGTGTGTGTAACGAATGCACGACTACAATTTTCGACGGATTTGCACCAAAATTTACATGCACATGTTCCAAGTTAGCGGGAAGGCCAAGACCGACTTTGCATTTCCCAACTCCCATCGATAGTGGAAATAATCGATTTTTTCATGCTTCTACGGCAGTTTTCATGTAAAAAAATTCGATAGCTGCATTCGTCACAAGTGGGAAAAATTTAAATCTGCATGTCACCTGACTCTAATTGGCTCATTCGCTTGCTTAAACTCAACGTTGATTCTGATTCCGCAGAACTGGGTTGGGTGTGAAAAAGTATTTGTTGTTAACATTCTTTTTTCATTCGGCTTTTCCAAGTTACGAGTCCTTTTTTAAAGCTGATCGTTTTGTGTTCATTTTGTTTAGTTCTTTTTTCGTAACAGATTTAATGTTTAGTATAGAGCTTAGAAAAAATTCACAGTGTGAGATAGGCGAGAAGTAAGACATGTAGCAACATTAGCACGGCAAAGGGCACTCCTTTAAAGGCAAGGAAGGGCAAAAATATTTTAAGTCAAGTGATAGCGATTGCTGTATGAGTCGTACGATTTTTGAATCAAGCCCGGGCAACGCTGGGTCATGCTGCTAGTTTTGCTATAAATATGCTGTTGGTCCTTTTTATATAAAAATGTATTACTGATATTTTTACGATAAATATGAATGTTTATACATTCATACTGTTTTGTTTGAGGGTTCACTATTTTCCCGTGGGTGGGAATCTAACTGGTACTAACTCCCCGGGGGTTATGGTGAACCTGGGAACAACAACATTTAAGAGGTGATTCCGCACTCCTCAAAACCGCTAAAGTTCCAATCAGAGGCCTTGCTGCCCGATGTAGTTTGTCGTCAAAACCAGGATTAAGTTCCGTCAATGAAAGTAAGGAACATGTAATTATGAAATTCGTCAATTTTTTTCAGTTAAAACATTAAAGGGTATGATTAAAGGGTATGATTAAAGGGTATGATTAAGGGGTATGATTAGTGCTTTTGAGGTGTTATAGTGTAAATTATATAAAAGATGAGTGTTACCGTGTCAGGAGTTTGGATGGTGACATTTCACTGTTTGACGGTCTGAGAGGATCTAGTGTCGCTGTTAAGGCACTTCGGTATGACAGATGAATTTGGTTTTGAAACTTAAATATTAATGACAATTGAAATGGAAGAAAGAACTGAAAAGAAGAAAAAGAATCAAGAAAAATATTATGAAATAAGAAGAATCCTGAGCTGATTAAAAACGAAAGAACATTTGATTGTTTTTGTTTAGCTGCATATCAACACCTTTACGGGGTATTTAATGCCGAAATCTAAATATTTTGTACGTAATTTTATTATTATTATTATTATTATTATTATTATTATTATTATTATTTTCTTTGATTTCTGGCGTTTACACATTTCTTTCCGGGCCCCGCCCAGGGACCTAAGGTTAGATATGGCATCATGACACTTTCCACTGACAAAAAAAAAAAAATTACATAGATAAAGCCCTTCGTAAAGCGTGGGCTGTACTTGTCAGAACAATTTTTTGTATCTCTTTGAGGCATGGACTTCCAGGAATCCCTTCAATTAGTCTACCGGAATCTTTTCCAACCATTCCTAAGGCTCCAATTACAAGAAGGATTGTTGATGTTCCCATATGCCACATTTTTGAAATTTCTATTTCAAGGTCTTGTATTTTGACAACTTTTTGAATATCTTCAAAAATACATTGCAGTCAGCAGGGACTGCCATATCAATAAGGATGCACCGTTTTTGCATGTTGTCTTTAATAACAATATCTGGGTGGTTGGCTTTGATTGTTCTGTCAGTGTGTATTGTGTAGTCCCATAGAATTGTAACAGGTCCTATCTCCGTAATCGGGTCTGGGTGGTGTTATTATTATTGTAACCTAGAGAAGATAACTGAATAGAATAATCCAACGAAGGTTGAAAATGAACGATAATACTTAGGACAAGAACAACACATATAAGATTCGCCAGCGGCGCGTAGAAGGAGTAGGCAACTGCTAGAAGTGAGTCAAATGAATTCCACAATAAATTTCCAACGGCAGGATATCTACCAACCGTCCCCTGCGGTCACATGTGGCACATGGCCGAATTCAATATGGAGTATCCGAGCGTGTAGGCTCGGCCAAAAATTCTCTGTAGACCCCATATAAAACGCGGTCGGGTAGCTGTTTTCCGAGACGAGACTCTGCCCTTCGACAGAGTCTCGCCTTGGGGTCCTCTCTGCCCGGAGGCAGAGAGTTCGACCAGCAGACCAAGTACTACTGCTGTATTGCTACAGTATTTATATGAATAGGAACATACCCATTATCGTATGCTACAACAATTATTATTGAGATAATAATGGTTTTGAGACACAATTCTGACTAATTAACCCATAGCTGATATAAGAGAATATAATGAACCCAACCAGAATTGGAACTCGGTTCTCCGATTAACAATTCCAAGACATTAACCATTACACCACCGGCACATCGAAGATTATAGCACCTGCTATTTCCAAGAGGTCATCCATCGCGGTACTGATCAGGTTCGATGTTGCTTAACTTCGGTGGTTGTACGGGAAGCGGAAGACTCACCTGACTCACCTTCAGAAACAAGAAAAAAAGCAATCAAGTGTTTCAAGTAGCTCATTTTTATTTAAAACTGAATATATAAGAGAAAACGTAGAAATTCATGCACGTTAACGGAATATAACGAACCCAACCAGAATTGGAACTCGGCTCTCCGATTAACAATTCAAAGCCATTATCCATTACACCACCCGCACATCGAAGCTTACAGCACCTTACCAGCTACATTCCTTACTTCCACCAGTTCAGACTTTCACATCTAAGGTCCGACATGCCACTACATAGGGTCGATTCTGATTCCCTTTATATTCCATTCGTAAGGAGGAAGTTCCACTCAGACCGCTTCTTTCCCAGAACAGTTACTTTATGGAACAATGATTAGTAGATTGATTGGATATTTTTTTACGGCTTATCAACCCATTGCAGGTTATTTAATGCTAGAAAATATTTTTAGATTCTAAGAATGTTTATTTTGAGATAATAACGATTTAGTAATACACGTTTTACTATTTAACCCATAGGTGTGGGAGGAAGAGGCGGATTCATACCTTTCCCAATAGTATTTGCGTGTAAGTGAATATAACGACCCCAACGAGAATTGGAACTCGGCTCTCCAATTACCAATTCTCAGTCATTATCCATTTCACCATCCGCACATCCAAGCTTACAGCACCTGGTATTTCCAAGCGGTTACCCATTTAGACTCTACCTGATGCGGCTGTAAGTCTTCTTTTTTTTTTTTTAATCGAGTTCACCCCAAGCAAGGCGTTAATGCCACTGAGACGCAAGTGCTTATAGGTTGAAGAGTTAGAAAAAGGAGCGTTACTAAGAAGCAAGAAAAGAGGAAGAGTAATCTGGAGGACAGCAGATAACGATTGACATTGCATTTAAATTTTTGCAGATTAAATTTGGCTGGAAAGCATGGAACCAGAAAAGAGTTTAACAAGCGAGAAGTGCTTGAAAAGAAACTGTTAGTTGCAGAATTTGCAGCAATATCTAAGCCAGCTCAACTGTAAAGTGGTGAGATCTCGACGCCAGTCTAGTACGGCGCTAAAATTCGAATAGTCTCGATACTTAGCAAAGAAAACGCAAAGGAAGCCAACCTTACGGCGGTGGAAAAGTGACTGAAGCCGAGCCGTCAGATCGAGGCCAATTTTACTTATTATAAAACGCAGTGTGTGTGTGTGTGTGTGTGTGTGTGTGTGTGTGTGTGTGTGTTTGTTTGTTTATATATTGGATCGGATTTCCTACATTTTTCAACCGATTTCAACAAAACTTCACAGGACTACGTAAAATTACCTTGCGGTGGTTCTGACAGTGCCAAAAATTGGAAAAACACAATTGTTTTTGCACGAAATCAATTTGAAAACACGATAAAACACGATTCTGCCGCCAGAATGAAAGGGGGAAAACTCATATCGAGTTATACTTATAAAACCCAGGTTGTGTGTGTGTGTGTGTGTGTGTGTTCCTTTATATATGGGATCGGATTTCCTACATTTTTCAACCGATTTCAACAAAACTTCACTTTTTTTTTTGCCAGGTAGTGTTTCTTATTGTCTTGCACACTTTTTTCTTTATTTTTACATTCAGAATGCTTTAAAAATTCCATTTACAAGACAATTGTTTATAATAAAATTCTATTCATTCCATAACGATTGCAAAACAATGTTTTTGTTTGAGTTTGGGTTTGACCAATTCGTAAAAAAAAAAAAAAAAAAAAAAAAAAAATTAAGACATGCGTGTCCGTCAACCTTAAACAATAATCTTTGTCAATTTTATTTTTCAGTCTTTATGATGGTCGATACTTGATCTATCTCTTACTGTTACATCCCCGGGCAACGCCGGGCTCTACTGCTAGTAATATATAAAAAGAAAGAAGAACAAGAAAACAGAAATTCATAGCAGATTTCAATGCAGTTATCTGTTGCATTAGATTGATCTCCTTCAGGCGCTATCATTGTTATACATCCTTGTGCAAATTAATTGAAACAACCGCTTTAGTTTCCTTTCTTTCACCATACGTTCAGTTGTATACCCACTCGAGTGACAGGGTGTAATTGATTTCTATTTTTTCCTCAGATTTCGCAGTGGTGTGCAGTAATATGAATCTGTTTTCGGGGTGTATGATGAAATCTGTATGGTCTTGAAAAATATTGCGTCATCTGTGATTGCATCAGATTTTCATCGCGTCCAGACACTACTGTCTCGACAGTCGATTAGTTGTCCTACGGTCATTGTCTGCGATGGATGTTACTCCAAGGAAATTAAAACACTGTACGAACACAATGCTAAGTCTTTCCAGTGAACAAATCAAAGTACTATAGATTGGTCCGGAAACTCTTCTGAAAAAAAAGTAAATTATAATGGAATTATTCGTTTTGCTTTAGTTAATTTGCACAAGGGTGTAACTTCATTTGCTAATCATGCTAAGTGACAGTAGCACACAATATGATCAATAATCTAAACCTATGAAACACTAGAAGACAAACATCAGCACCCATTAAGACATTATTATTATTATTATTATTTCCTTTGGTTTCTGCTGTATACACATTTCCGTCCGGGTCCCAACCAGAGACCTAAGGTCAGAAATGACTCCTACAGAATAAAAAAAACTAAGATCACACACATTTTACATAGATAAAGCTCTTCGTAATATATGAACTGTAATTCTGAGTACATTTTTTTGTATTTCCTTAAGGCATGAGCTACAAGGAATTCGTTCAATGAGTCTTCAACCTTTTCCAATCAATCCGAGTGCTCCAACTACAACTGGAATTATTGATGTCCTCGTGTGCCACATTTTCGAGCTTTCGACTTCAAGATCCTCGTATTTTGATAGGTTTTTGAAGATATTCAAAGATACATTACAATCTGCAGGGATTGACATTTTTCTACAGCGAGGTTCACCATTTACAAGGCCCGGAGGTCACTCCAGATAGAGGGCGACATTTGGAGGCCATATGTATGTATAGAAATGGAAGAAAACGTACTGATCGGGGAAACATCCTGTTTGGAGTCGGTTCCACAGGGCAGTAGTTCGCGAGGAAAAACTTATTTCTCACCGCCATTAAGGTTTGTTTTGGCGAGACCCGAGCATGTAATTCGTCCGGGCACTTTCCGTCGAAGTAGCGGTAAGGCAACGAGAGGCTTGCCACATCCTGCCTGGAAGACAGAGGTTGAAGAGCGGAGAATAATTCGTCACCCACAAGAGGTCTGAGACGCTTTTGAACTCTATCAAGGCCTGAGAGTAGCTTCTGCCGAAATATGAAAACAGTACTCCATTTTCGGACGAATCTGACTCTTGTAAAGGTAGAGGATAGCAGGAGGAATTAGCACTTTATGGAATCTTCTTTCAAATTATTAGTAAAGTTATTATTCATATGGAACAAATACTTTAGTATTCATAAAATATATCTGTTTTTGTTTTGTAATTAATTTTTTTTTTTGTAATTTTTTTTAAAATTAATATCCACAAAAATTAGTTATATCATTTTGTCCACTATTACATATTTCAGGTTAATAAACATTAATAAAAAATATTATAAATTTAAGTTGTGATCACAACAAAAAAGTAGAAAAAGTTGTTATTTTACCCATAGCTGGGACCCATTAAAACAGGCACTATCACTCCGGGTCAGAGTGATCCTGAGAGTCATTCAGAGGAGGATTGGGCTATAAGTAGGACTATTTACGTTTATACCCCGAAACTAAGGACTTTCATTCATACCAAAAACTGACGTCTCTTAAGACAATAACTAATGGATGCAGTTTTACGTCCTACCCAGGACTAATAAGGACCTTAGAGAGACTTAATGGATGCAGTTTTACGTCCTGCCCGGACTAATAAGGACCTTATAGGTCAGTACAAAATATGACAGGAATGAAAACCCCTAATTTCAATTTTGTAATTGGCTTTGTAAACAAATCCGACACGTTATTTTCCGATTGAACATATTCAATTTGTACTGTTTTCTTTTGTACCTGATCCCTAACAAATTGATATTTAATATCAAAATGCTTTGATCTTTGATGTATTATTGAATTTCTAGCCAAAGCAATACTGGCCTGATTGTCACAGTAAATAATTATTGGCTCAGTTATTATCAGTGCTGTTAATGTTTTTATTAGTAATTTAAGAAAAATAAGTGGGCTCATAACCTTTGCTAACCATGTTCACTATAGTCTATGAATATAGAATACAGCGCAATACGTAATCTGTTCAATGAAACAACGTTAAAGATTAACACTCTCGAGTCAGACACTCTACTGAATCTAACTATATCGCCAATACCACCAGCAGCTGTTCCGTAATTCTTCAGTCTTCGATACCAAAGGTTGGCTGTCAGTGAATATTCTGAAAAAAGAAAAAACATGGCCGCCTTTATACACGTCGCATTGAATATTTTGAGCCTTCTGATTGGTTAAGCCTTCTATTGGTGAACTATAAAATGAGTCAGCTCATTTTGGCTGGCTCACTAGTACACTAGGGTACCCAAAAAATCCAACAGTACTTACTGGAGTAGTACAAAGAGCTGACCATTTTACATGCTTAACAGAGGATCGTATGTACAAGTTCCACTTGTGGTCAGGTGTGAGTTTGAGGCCCAACAATCTTTCAAGACAAAGTGCTTCCCCGAGAGAAGTTCTGTTCATTTTGATTGAGGGTCGTTCGGGGTCAGAACGGCGGTGATGGAATGTAACTATTTTGGTCTTCGAGGCATTGAATGTAACCTGTCAGTTTTTACCCCACTTGATAGTTTGTACAAGATCGGAAGAGAGATTAGTCGCTATTCTCTGACCATCATTTTAGATGTGGGCCCGTATATAGTCGTATCATCGGCATAGATTTTTACAAATGATCTGAGTATATTCTTAGGCAGATCATTTATGTAGATCAAAAACAGGGTTAGTCCACTGGGTGCTACCTACGTTGACCTTTAGGGCTTTGGAGATCTGGCCATTGATAACTACCTTCAGGTACCTACAATCGAGAAGA